TTAATATATAAAATTTTTTTAAAATATTTTAAATTTTGATAAAAATAGATCAGAAACAATAATTTTGACATTTTAGCGATCAAATATAGCCGCTAACTGCTGACGGTTTAAGGGATAAGACATTTTTTTGAATTATTTTTTTTATTTTATTTTTTTTAATATATATATGTAAGAACTTTCACGTTTCGCATTTCAACTTTACAACTTTATAAGCCAGTAATTACAATGTCAACTTCATCTACACTTTATTATATTGAAGATTATGAACTAGTCTCTGCTTACTTAACTAAGCCTAAAGATTATGAACCAGAGCCTACTTACTTAGATAGACCAGTTTATTTACCAGTCTATTCAAATAGACATAAAGAATATAAAGCAACACCTACTTGCCAGAATAAACCTGAAGTTGATGAAATATATCAAGCTAGTAACAGATATACAAGATAAAACAAACCTTCTCAAAAAGAATTTTTTTTTATTTAGATTGTTTTACTTATATTTGTTTGTATTACAGATCTTTTATATAGTCATACTTTATAAAAGAAAATGGTTTTGCACAATGTAAATTTTGTAAGATGAAGTTAGTGTATCAAGATAAAATGATATCAAATTTTAAAAACATCTTAAGTACTATAAATGGCCGGATACAAGATCTCCCTAAATAGTAGATCTACCAGATAGTATATCAAGATGCAGATTACAATATCTATATTAATTAAACCTGAGTTTTTTCAAATATCTAGACTACCTATTATAAATACAAACCATGTATGCTCTTTAATTAATAATCCATTTGTCACCTAGAGAGGATCAGCAAAATTTTATAAGTAAAATTTACTATTGGCCCAAATGTGGCGTGCATGCATCTAAAACTTTTTTTATATTAAGTTAATTACTTTTCTAACTTAAGAGACTTTTGTAGAGCTTGTCAAGACGCATTCAATGGTGGTTAGAGCATCAAAATCGGCTTGGTGGGTGCTGAAATATCTTTAAAAAACATTTCTTTTACTATATAAACTTTGTAAACAATACTATTGTTTGCAAAGAAGTTTATATAGTAAAAGAAATGTTTTTTAAAGATATCTCAGTACCTACCAAGCCGATTTTGACGCTTTAACCACCATTGGATGCGCCTTGACAAGCTCTACAAAAGTCTCTTAAGTTAAAAAATAATTAACTTAGTATAAAAAAGGTTTTAGATATATGTATGCCATATTTGGGCCAATAGTAAATTTTACTTATAAAATTTTGCTGATCCTCTTTAGGTAACAAATAGATTATCAGTTAAAGTTTTTTTCTTAGTAATATAAGCTTTCAGCTATATACTAGACTCTGGGTCTATTATAGATATTAAAATTGGTAGAATATAAGAGGCCTGGGTCTTGTATCCGGCCATTTATAGTAGTATAAAAAAAAAGTACTTAAGTTAAAAGAATTGGATATAAAAAAACAAGACAGTGCTTCTGTTATTGATATGCTAAATAACAATAATGTAAGTTTTAAAAATACTGTATACAATAGTTAAATAAGATACAATTTACTTAAAATATAATTATATTAATTAGATTAATAACAATTTTAATCACAACTCTTTCCAATAATTACTTGAACCAAAATTTCCTATAGAAGAAAAATACAAATTTTGTTGGAGAGTCGTGGCCTAATGTAGTGGTTTGTCTAGAGATCAACGTTTGCTTGCGAGACTCCTTTATTGGTGACTTTTAGCATGCAAGCCAAGAGCATTATTATACAAGATAACTGGCAGGAAGTGCCTTTGTATAAAAAATCTTGGTAGTGAAGAGGATTCTTTGAATTATCCTTTTTCATCATCGATGAAGCTCTTAGGCTGTACTTCTTTGAAGACACTGGGGAATAACAAAATAACATGTTATTTTTTTAAACCGCACTCTTTTTATTTGATCAAGTGATTCCTTATTACTTTTTCTCACTCTCCTGTCGGTCTTCCAAAATTTTTTAAAAAATGTGAAGATTTGGCTTATCTCTCCAAAAGATCGACATTGTTTACACCTTTCTAATTCAGATGAACTCAGTAGAATGCAGCCACATGTTTGTTTATTTGGATAATCACAGTGCTATGGTACAAGGAAAAAATTGACATCTTTGTTTAGAAGATACCCAATTTGAGTTGGTGCATAGAACGAGTCCCAAAGTTAAAACAATAGTTTTACAATTGAGATATAGTAATTAGTTGCAATTATTATATAATTTTTATCCTTATGCCTAGCATGGGCTATAATAGTGTGTCATAGCTACTTTTCTTTTTTTTTGCTTTTTTCATCTTTGTTCATTTATGTTAGACTATTTTAGAATTTGTTAAAAAGTTTTTTTTTCCACTATGAGGTGTTTTTTTTTCTAAAATGTTTATATCTTTCATAAATATAGCTTTATTTTTTTCACTTTTATATACAAATAAGGGTTTTTAATTATGTTGTTGGGCTTAGGTAGAAGAAGTCTGAAAGAAGAGAGAGATGGTCATGACGAGCAGTAGGTACCATCTGTTGAGATCTGGGTTATATTCAATTGCAGAAGGGGTTCGGAAAGAAAAAAATCCTACTATAGCAAGTCAAACATAGGTACCAAGTTGGTAACAGGGTTAGTCGTAACTTGTAATTTAGATAACAATTTGGGCTATGGTACTTGTCATTTAGAGATAGTTCTCATACACTATCTGCCAACAAGTTAAGAGTTTATTACTTACCTTCTGAAATGCCCGATTGTAAAATTTTACATATTCTAGATGAGTTGTACAAAGCCTAATAAAGTTAAGGCATGACTGCCGAATTATTAAAAATTTAATAAAACCTCACATTTATATGATATAATTTGAATAAACTTACTTTAGCTGTTTTTCTTTTTGTAAATTTCCTATCAATCTTATATTTACTATATTTATTTACTTAATTTTCTTTTTTTCTCTTGTTGAATTCAAAACTATCTGCCTTTTATCTAAATATTAATTTAATTTATTTCTACTACTTTGCTTTTCTATAACCTTTTATTATCTTTTTTATATCATTTTATCTTTTTTCCATTATTTCACACTATTTCGAATTTTTTTATTTTATTTTTTATTTTTATTTTTTTTGCTTTTCCTTTATTTTACTTTTTTTTATTTTTTATTTTTTTATTTTATTTTTTATTTTAAATTCTTTACTATTATTATTATATATTACTTATACAAATAGCTTCAAATAAATTTAAATTTTATTCAACTATTGCTGCAACAAGCATGCAATGTTTGCTAAAATAACCTCTGATAAAAAAGTAGCTACTATTGTTATTGAAAAGCAAACTCTACAATATATCAATTCTGTTGAATCTGCTTACAATACTTAATTTTCAATAATATAATTTGTTTATTTCTTCTTTTTAAAATAATTTAAGATCAAATTATGTTGGCTTCTATTAATGATTTGTAATAAACTAAATTGAAAAGTTTCAGCTTTAGATAAACATGTATCAGAAGATCTTAATCTTAAAAATGAAGTTAACTTTGTTAAAGTAATTATTTTTTAATAATAATATTTGTATTTAATTTAATTTAAACTACTCAACTTTCTCTGATGATCACTTATACCAAAATTTCAACTAACGAAAAACAGAACTTTTGTTGGAGAGTCGTGGCCTTACGGTGCACTTTGTTTAAAGATCAACCTTCTACCCCAGAGGACTTCTCTAAAAGAATATTTGGCATACAAGCCAGGAGCATTATTATACAGGGAGTAAGTTACATAGTAGGCTACTACTTTGTTGGCAAAGCTTGAAGGCTGTTACTTCAAAGAAGAACACAGAGGAAACAACAGAAGTTGTGAATTTTATCACACTCCTTAGAAGTTTTGAAAGTACTTGCAACCGAAGACCTTCTACTATATTTTTGCTATTTTGAAATTTTTTTAAAAAATTTTGGCCAAAAAGTGGAAAAACTGGTGTACCCCCTCCAAAAGATTGGTAGTGTTTACTCCTTCCAAATTAGGATGCGTCTACTGAAATGAAATCTTCCATAAGCTTATTTGGATTATGTTTTGCCAAATAAACAATGATAGTATATTAGAGGTTAGAGAAATTATGTGTAAAAATTTTTTTAATGTTAGATGTTTTCTTTTAAATTCTTTTATTACATATAGTATTAGGTTAGATTTCATTCTATACAACATTATATAATTTATGTAGCCTCGCACAGACAAAAATAGTGCTATCATGGCCATTCTTTTTTTTGATCTTTTTCTCCTTTTCTCTCCTTTTTTTTTTTTTTTGTTTTTGTTTAATTTAGTTATTTTTCCTTTTTTTTTATTTCTTTTATTTTGTAAATTTTCTGTTGTTCTCTGGTAGAATTCTTCTATTTAGAAGGCTAGGAGAGAAAGAAGGTGGCCATGATGAGCTGATGAACCAGGTTGGTGAACCAGGGTAAGTTGGTTTGATATAGATTAAACCAAACTGGGGAGACTAAAATCATCTTTGGCAAGTTACACACAGGTGTATGAATATTTAGGTATTCTATATAGATAACCAGATAAGTTACATACTTGAATCTTTAGATGTATTAAATATATTCTTTTTTCTTTGAATTAAATTAATGATCAATAAAGCATGGGCATATAGCATGATTGCTAAAAAAAAAAAATTTAATTTAAACTAATATATTTTACTTTATAAGCAAATATATATAGCAATTACTAAAAGATTAATTATAAAATATATTTATCTGATACTAGATGAATTAAAGATAGCTACAGATGAATATTTATTAGAATTTGAGTATAAATTTTATAAAGACATGGAAACTAGAGAGTGGAACATACTTTACAGAAACTAGCTATTTTTTTTCAATGGAGTTAAGGTCATCTTAACGATATTATTAAATTTTTTAATACAGTGCAGGACAGTAAGAGACATCCAATGTCTATTAATAAAACTTTAAAGTGGTATAACTTTTTTAAAACAAGCTAAATCAAAAAACCCTC